TGAATTTTACATAGAAGATCTGTTAACTGAACATGTAGTTTCTCCAGGTTCTGTCTGTCCTTTCACATGTACTCTAAGCAATGATTAGAAATCAATTTGTTTTGGAAAAATATCTATTTAATTCATGGGAAAGCACACTGCTGGAAAATGGGATACAACAACGAATGAAACAGACTCTAGAGTCCTTAATTTAGCCACAATTTGGACCAGTTTGCAACTAAATGACCAATGAGTGCAGTTAGAGACATAGATGACTCCTTGAAGAAGCCTAGAAGACTCTATCTGGTCCTCAGAGGCAGAAACATGTATACTATTGCTTGAATAGAGCAAGAAGGCAAACAAGTACTTCTAGCTCCCTGGGATTTCTCTTGCATATTATTAGCCAAGTATGATTTTTAAGACTGTATTTATAGTCTCATTGTTTTCATTGTCTGATAAAGGTCACACTCATATTGAAGCAAAGATGTTGAGACAGAAAAGGGAGAATTTGAAGTGGATCAAAGGAAAGGCACAAATGTCATGGAAGAAATAAATCCCTATTATGTCTTAGATGTATAATTTTTCTCTTTTATCCACAACAACAACAACAACAACAAAATACATGTATCTTTTCTGTTGCTGATTGAATTGAAATAGTAGTATTTTCTACACAGACTGTCATAAACTTTTTATTCTTGCTTCACTTATTTTTCTTCCTAGACTATAACTATTGAGTGACATAGACCTTATCCTGTATTTATCTTCCATTTTCATTTGATTAGACAGTATTATTTGTGGAACTTTATGGATTTCACACCACATAAGAAGAGAGAAACATTAGAAACCCATTTAGACATTCTATTATCTGCTTTCTACACAGTCAACACTGAATTTGAACACACGGAGTTCCTAAATTTGGCCTTGTACTTTACTACAAACAAATGTTTAAGGAGAAAATTAGACAAAATTGGAGCAATGCTATTTTCTGTCTTTGCAAACACATTTTACAAGACCATACCTGTTCAGCTTTACACTATCCTCTTCATGCCTGATGTTTTTCTGGGATTTGGCATCAGAGAAGTTGAATTCCCCTGACCCTTTATCTTAGTGATGCTCATCCGTATTGCATGCACATGGATGGATAGTCTTATAAGCTGAATGTTCTTAGAAACCTCATTTACCTTTATATCATCACATCTTATCAGACAGTCTGGTGTGCATATTGCGTAAACAGATAAGTCTAACTGAATGATACAAACTTTTCAAAATAAGAAAAACCAGATTTATGGGATTTTTATTATAAATTTTTATTTAAATTAGATACAACCTTATTTTACATATCAATTCCAGTTCCCTCTCCCTCCGATCCTCCCATGACCCCCAATAACCCCCCATCCCACAACCCATCTACTGCCCAGGCAGAATGAGGCCTTCCATGGGGGATCATCAAAGTCTGTCACATCATTTGGGGCAGGGCCCAGGGCCCTCCCATGTGTATCTAGGATGAAAGAGTATCCCTCCATAGGGAATGGCTCCCAAGGTCCATCTGTGCACTAGGGATAAATACTGGTTCCACTGCCAGAGGTCCCACAGACTTCCCAGTTCTCTTAACTGACACCCACGTTCACGGGCTTAGCCCCCTTGACCTATGCTAGTTCCCAGATGTCAGACTGGGGTCCCTGAGCTCCCACTTGCTCAGGTCAGCTGTTTCTGTGGGTTTCCTCAACATGGTCTTGACTCCTTTGCTCATCATCACTCCTCCTTCCTTACAACTGGATTCCTTCCATGAATTCAGCTCAGTGCTTAGCTGTGAGTCTCTGCATCTGCTTCCACCAGCTGCTGGACAAAGGTTCTAGGTTGGCATTTAAGGTAGTCACCAATTTCATTATAGGGGAAGGGCATTTAAGGTACTGGTACCAAATGATCGCCCTTTTATCTGTAGTTACAATTGCCTATTTACTTATTGCCAAAGATAGGCAACAAGAAAATCACATACATACATACACACACACACACACACACACACACACACACAGAGAGAGAGAGAGAGAGAGAGAGAGAGAGAGAGAGAGAGAGAGAAGAGATAGATAGATAGAGGAGAACCAATTCCACAGATCTTTATATAATTCATTTGAATGAGTTGACTAAATATAATCAAATTTTGATAGATGGACACACCAATAATTTTCATATAAATGTTTTATTGCAGAGAAGTTATAGTTATTTACATGCTGCAACACATCACAACATAAATTTACCAAATATTTCGTGGTGGGATGCTGTAGATTCAGATAATAGTTCTAGAACCACAGGTTAAGTGAAGAGACTTACAGCTTTGTTGACTCTACAACTCTCAGCTGCTAAATGCTAGAAGTCAAAGGCAGTGTGTTGTCAGTCCTACCTATCACCACTTGCATGCAGAAACCTAGGAAGCAAATACATGACAACTGTCGGGTTTCAATCTGTATTGCCACCGAAGCTTACAAGGGGTAGGGTAATAATTTATGTTGTAAAGCATTTAATTCTTGCATAAAATATACACTTCTATTAAGACTGATATAAATCTACTTATTTATAAACCCTGGCTTAAAACAATGACTGGAGGCAGCCTGCACATGCACTGAAAAGGACAACCTAGCAAATGTTTGTGAGACCTTCACATTATATATGCTTTCTATTGTTCTCAGCCTGGGAAAAGGAGCTTCCCGAACAACAGAGTTCGATTTATTTTGGTGATAGGTAATGACAATGAAACGCTAGGAAAACCCTAAGCATAGTGGAGAATAGTCGAGGGGGGTGGGGCAGACTGTCATGAAGGTATAATTTGGCAAATCTTCTGTAAGCCACATGTCAAGCAGGATCATCCTGAAGTGCAATAAAAGCCAGTGACAGGTGACTACTTAATTCTCAGAAGTGAATCAAGTGCTAACAGATCTCAGACACAAGTGAATAAGTACATGAGTCTAGAAACTCTAAACTAAATTCTCAAATACTCCTCAAAGTAGTATTCTAAAGTCATCTAGCAGATAGGTTTTGATTGGGGAGGAGAGGATGATAGAAATTAATGAAGGCAGCAGTTAAAAATAAAAGTTTCATAGCTCTCCAAACCTTCCCCACCAACCTGAGTAATGCATGAAGCAAGCAAATGGGTGAGGGCAATTTATGCATGGCTCTGCCAACTCTTCAAGTGCTTGCTTACTCCTGAATAAAAAAATAAATGCTGAGAAAAATTTGATGATAGATGCAAAGAATTCTGTTTCTATCTTCCACTGAGAATAAGAACAGCCTTGTATCTACCTTATGACTCCTTCTCCCCATCTTCCATCCTGCTAGCAAATTCTCCTTGTTGCTTACCAAATGAAACAACGGTTCCTTTGGCTGGAAATGTCTTGGCCAAATAGGCAGTTGTTCAGTGTTTGTGATGTGAGAAAGGCAAGCTTGGCCTGTAGTTCTAAGTGATTCATCTTTATATAAAATGTGGCAGAACTTTGGAATCTCATTTCAAAATAACATCCTTAGAGCTAAGTCAGCAACTCAGGATGTTTATGCCAGGAGATCATTATGGAATGCAACAAGTTCTATAAGATATGCTTCAAGAATTTCAAACAAGTTTTATGTTTGCATTTTAAGCTAGGTAGCTTGCAATAATAGTTTACAGGACTTCTAAGTTCTGGTGCTGGGGAAGATGAAGAACCCATAACATCTTATGGGCTTTGAGTGAATCAGGTTATAAAATTTCTTTGGGATTTGAGCCCAACAAGTTCTACACCTAGGTGAAGCAATGAATAAAAGTTATGAGAATAAATAATTTAAGGTAATTTAAAATATTATATTTTCAATATGCATAATAAAAATATATCCATACAATGATCTTGATGCTATCATTAATTTTTCTCTTTATAAAAATAATCCCTTGAAAGTGCTATTAGGAGCTACCTTTCTGTATTTGTTTTGAAAGGCAAATTCCTAGACCTGCAGTATGCTCTCATTCTCAAAGAATTCCTAGGGTTTCCTTCTTCTGTTGGTAACAATGCACAGCACAGTTTCCTCACTCAGCTTCTTCCACAGGAAATGCTAATATGAAATACTGAAAGAGTTCAAAAGGACAATGCATTGGGATGGTCCAGCTCTGACTTGGAACAAACAATGGGTAAGTTGTCCTTAACCTACTGAGACATATGACTAAGCAGGACCATTTGATCTCCAAGATTACTAAAGTTTCAGAGTCCCTACAAGAAGTGCAGAACAAATGACTTAACTTATATTTAAAAAATTAAGACTTTACAATAAACCATGATGGGAAATAATAGAGTCAAATCCAACTTTATGCTATATAAACCACGGTCCAAACTAAAAGTTTGCATCATAACAGTTATGGCTTCCTAAGCCAGAGAAAGCTTACTGTACTCTGGTACTCTGGAATTAACTACAGTTGATAGATAGCAGGTATTCAAAAGTTTGCAATGACAATTGAGTAGCTGTGGATTGCATAAATGTGTCGTGTCACATAATATCAAAGTTATTTGCAAAAATTATACAATCTGGAATGCTTGATATGAGACACAACAACGTACTGAAACATACATTTTAAGAAAATGAGAGCAATCATTTATATAAAAGGTATTGGGGTGCATTAAGTTAGCAGTGCTACCAAGGTTAAATAGGTAATTTCTCAATCAGCTACTTAGGATTACAGTCACATATTATCTAAGCTTTCCCCATCTTAAAATACATGCCTTTATCTTCGGTGCCTCCTGATTAATCCTGCTTAGGACCATCCAATCCCATGGGTAAAGACTGACTAGGCAATATCCCTTAAGCAAGTTGAAATGCCAAGCTTTCCCCAGTGTTGCTCTGGGAATGGCTGAGCCAGACTTCTTCTTTGTGAGGCACATCTGCTTCCAGTCTTCTACAGCCTATGCCTTCACCTCACCACACCAAGTGCCATATTTCCGCACTCTGACAAAAATTTCTTGGTAATTTTTTTATTTTCAGATCTATTTTCAATCATGTCAGGGATTACACTTTTTCTTCACAGGGTACTACACTTCAAAAATGTCCCAGACCTCCTATTTCCGAGGCCTTGCTATCTTATTTGCATTTATAGCAGAGGAGACAGGTAAAGCTACACTTCTTTCAGCATTTGGTTGATCTAGAGTCTCAAACTCCCAAGGACACACTTCTGCTCGTGATGTTAATGGTTGATGGAAGTTATTACTTGAGTTACAGGAGCCAGGAATGATACCCCCAGAGGAAGATGTCTGTTTCTCCTGGTCTCCCATTCGGTTGCAATTTTCATTCTCTACTTTCGATGCCACAGCTTTGGGGGGCAGTTCTTCATGTAGCCCAGCACACATATTGGTTTTATAGAGCTGACTTCCATTCTCCTCTCTGGCTGTCCCTGGGAGAATGGGAGTCTTAGAAAGCAGTCGATTCTCATCTTCCAACAGGGACTGACCTTGGCTCTCCCAGGGACACACTTCTGTCTTGTCTACACTCTTGTGGTTGAGTTGGTGAATACCTTCAGCTGCCTTAGGCTTGTGGTGGGACTTCTCCTTCGAGGATGAAGCTGGGTTTTGTTCCCCTTCAGAAGCTGCAATTGATACGTGTTTCTGAGCTTTTGGTTCTGAAGGACCAGGGGTCATGTCATAAACCTCCCAAGGGCATACTTCTCCAATGTCAAAATTGTCCTTTATCTGGGTGGTGCTGGAGCTCAGGTCAGAATTGGCAGTGGGAAGGTTGACCCTCTGCTGTTTCATAATCCCAGATTTCTGAGGCTTTCTTAGCTCCTCCAAATGATTGGAGTTTGGGAGGCCGGGATCTTTTGTGTCTGTGTTTTCTGGATTTGAGTACTTCCTGTTTGACTCTCTATCTTTTGGCAAAGGTTTCTGGGACTTAGATCGTTCTTCCATACATGAAGTTTGGGTTTTCCCAGCCAGCCCAAGCGTCTTCTCCTTGGCACTTGCAATGACACTGAGTGACTTCTGTAACATGGACGTGCGTGGGTGCCCAGGCTTCTTCTCTGAGCTGAGGTTGTGAGCACTGGCTGATTTGCACACCAAAGGCACCGACTCTGTGGACTCTGCTTCACTGTCTTCTTTGAGCTTCTGTGCCAATTTTTTACTTGACAGGGACTCCAAGGTCGAATTTTCTGTGGCTTCCTCCTCCTGGCTCTCTGTAGGTAGGCTGCTAGACTCTTCTGTTTGGTCTCTGACATGGTCATAAGTGCTGTGAGACTTCTTGAGAGAGAAGACTCGGTTTTTCAGGGACTCCTCCTTGGGTCTCCCTGTGTTTCCCGAGGACTCAGTGGGGTTCTTCCGGACAAGGCCTGTTCCTTTGGCCACACTGTGATCTGTGCCCTCCTTGTCCTCCTTGGAGCACTGCCTGCTGACCGTCTCTGGGATCTCAGTGATCCGCCTCATGATGGACCGGCCTAAGCCCTTCTTGGAGCACCGCTTTTTCTGTAGGTGGGGGTTGTTTGTAATCATCTTCTTGCGCTTGTATATTTCTAACTGGGCATAGAGCTTTTTCAGCTCATCCTGCCGAGACAAGAGGATATTCAAAGAGGCACAGATTTAGTACTGCAGACAGAAATACCCGGCTGGACCTTATCAAAGCAAGATAGGGCTTTCTCAGACAATTGTAATGGCCACATTCACCAACTTCTCCCTGTTCTTTATTTTCTAATAATTTTGTGGGTTGTTTTATTTCTTAATCAAACCTTGAACTTTAAGACAAGAATGCATAGGTTTTACCTTTGCTTCATGGAATTTTCAACTTGTGTGGCCAAGACTGAGTCAGGACTATAAGAAAACATAGGACCCTAAGAGCTGCTGAACCGTAACCCTATGGTGTCCTGGGAGCAATGTAGCCATTGAGGCAGTCCTGACTGGTACTAGATGGACTTGGCAACAGCAGTCCAAAGCATCTTCTTCCTTCAGAGACTGATCCATTTTCAAGCATTATATTAAACAAGGCAGTCTCTCTGAACACAGGTGTTTCTTCCCTTGCTAAAAGCATGGTATGTCAACATGCCAATCAAGAGTAGGAAGTGTGACCAAGGCGAGTGTGAGAGCTGAGTTTTGTGAAGAATAATTAAATCATGGTTCTGCACTGTGGTCTTACTTCATGGATGCCTTCAGTTTCACACATACATATTCTTTTTTTTTATTTAAAACACACAGAAATACCTGTTTATTGGTATCACTGGCATAAACTGAACTAATCTGACATAGAAGAAGACCCCTCTGTCCTTACCCGAATGTCTTCTGGGTCTAGGCTGTGCTCACTCCAGGCTGAATTGATACTGCTGTTCAGGTAGGATCCAGAACGACCCATGTCCAACTCATCCTCATATGCTTCTGTAGCAATGTCATCACGGGGATTATTGCTTGAATGTGAAAACTGCAACAGATAATCAGCATCAGCTGTAGCCATTGACCCATTATTAGATAGCACAACATCTTCTAAAGTTCTGATGCTAACTTAATATACTTCATCTAGATTGACTCATCCACTCAACACTTACCAATGATTTGTGGCTGTGTTTGTGACTTTCTTTCCCTGGAATGTGCTAGAACTGTTTGTGAGGCATCATAAACTTTGTTTACTCTTTCATCCCAACTTTACCCTTGTTTCTTTATTAGGATCCAGAGTTTAAATAAGTAGAAAAATCATAAGACAGTCTCCCTAAGAGAAGCAATTCATTGTACTTGTGTATGGATGTAAACTATTTTGGTATATTATGTAATACAATAATTCATGCTTCAGTGAGAGTCTATTCATCCATATAAATAATTAGCCTTAGAGACAGGGATATGAATTTCCAGCTTCTTCATGTAGCATTATATAAAACCTGGCGGACAGGATATGTGATCCTAGTCACATCTTGGCCATCAGTGAGCTCTTGAGTTAGACATGGGACTTCTACAGAGCACAGTATCATCTTGCTTAACTGCATCTCACCCAGATGGCATTTACATTAAAATGGAAACTTTATCTGACACTTGAGATTTTTCCTCAAGCATATCATTTTAGATAAAGCTCTCCCTTTATCACACTTTGGTTATTTTCATGTGCTATTGTTTGGTTTTGTGTGCTTGTCTGCATTTTCCTTATGGCATTGAAGTAGGAAGAGTGAGTTAGATGAGTGATAGAAGGCAGGAAAGAGAAGCAGAACAATCTAGCTGTACCTTAAACAATATGCAGATAGTGTTTTATGAAAATTGAAATAACAGTTTAGAAAACATGTCTTCTCTTGTTCCAGATTATCAATAGTTCAAACATTTTTTTTTTTTAAATATTAGTAGATCATGTAGAGACAGCTCTGTTAGACTTGGGTGACAGTTACCACTAGTGCAAACACTGATGCAAAGAAAAGCAAAATGGAACTTGGGTTTGTGCACAATGAAGGGTGTGCTCAGTATCACTTGGGACTTTAATCTTGTGTAATTTTCAGAATGGATTTATAATTAAAATTTAGTAGATCATTTCTTTTATGGCACGAAGGTTTTTAAAGATAGTTTTCATTAAACAATGAGCCTAGTCAGCTGTGCTGGTTAGTTTTTAATGTCAACTTGCTACAACTTAAACTCACAAAAGATTCTCAGTTGAGTAACTTTCTTTATCATTAGGTTCATGGGCATCTCTGTGTAGGAATGTCTTGCTTATTAACTTGTGCAGGAAGGCCTCTACACTATGTGTGTCACCATTCCCTAGGCATTGGGTACTGACCTGTAGAAGTTGAGACAATGCTAGACAAATTCAGCAGCATCAATGCATCCATTTTTCTCTGCTCTTGACTATGGATGTGATGTGACTACTCACTTAAGTTCTTGTCTCAATTTCCCCTTGGTTGCAATAGATCATGACCTGGAATTGTAAGCCAATGAAACCCCCTTTCCCTCAGGATGTTTTATTACAGCAACAGAAGTGAAGCTAGAACACAAGCTATCTCTGTGTACCCAATAACATGGGGAGCAGCAATCTTCCATTTAACAACAATCTGTGTTTTGTAATTAAAACTTATTGAAAAATTATGATGAGTAAATCTTGCTTTTCCTCTCTTATCTGTGAGACCCAAAGCTACCATGGACTTAAAAATATGAGTGGTAAATATGGTAGAGTAGAGATCCAAGTCTCACAAGGTACTAGTTACACCACCTGGAGGGCACTTAGATGAACAGAATTATTCTCAACCAAAATCTCTGATATAAGTATAAGTTTAAGACTCAGGAGGTGGGGCTGTAGCTAAGTGGTAGGATCTGTGCTTGGCATGCTTAAGGCAATGGGTTTGATCCCCAGCACCACAAAAATTAAACCCAAACAGGCATTTGTCAGATTTTATGCATTTCCTGCTTCATCCTTTTCCCTTAGGGCTTTATCTAAAATGATAGTTTAAAATATTTATTTTACTCATCTTCTTTTCCCTAACCCCACTCCAAAGTATAGCTGCCAGAAGACAGTTTTGATCTCTGTGTTACACTATTCTAAGTGCCTGGCAAAATCCCCCAGTAATACTTGGCTATCTTTTGTGATAGTGTTAGTATGCCACAAGGTTGTGCAGACATTGCCACACTTGAATCCCAGAATATATTTTACCACCTCATTCACAAAAAGAACTCTGGAATCATTGACACAATAATTTTTACTATTCCCTTTCTGCATCATATAAGCCACTAGCCTACATTCCAGACTTGCCAGTTCTGGACATTCCACACAGATGGATTCATGTAACATGTATTGGCCTTCTGCACTTGGCCGTTTCACCTGGCATTATGTTTTCATGATTTGCCCAGGCTGTAGGATATATATATATATATATATATATATATATATATATATATATATAATGTGTATATGCATAAATGTATATTTACATGTTAAAGTGAGGGAGTATCTGTGTGTGCATGGGTGTGTGCATAGGTATATGCATGTATGTGTGCATATACACATATTTGTGTATTAATGGGGGATGTAATGTGTAGAAATGAGAGTGTGTCTTTCTGTCTGTGTGTGTGTTCACACACACACACACACATGTATGTGCATGTGGAGGCCAGAGGCATGCTGTTTATCTAATTTTTGGAGACAGGGTTTCTCACTTGCATAGAATTCTCTTAGCTGGTTAGGCTATCCATCTAGCAAGCTGCAAGCCCCAGGAACCCACCTGTGTCTGACTCTTCAGTACTGGGATTACAGCTGCGTATCACTACATCTGGCTTTATATATGTATACACACACACACACACACACACACACACACACACATACACACACACACACACAGATTCTGTGGGTTTAACTTAAGTTCTCATATACATCATTGATGATTTCCCCAGCTTCCATTAATTTCTTTTACTGACAAATAATATTCCATTATAAAGATGCACCATGTTTTACTCATACATTTATCAGCTGATATACATCTAGATTGTTATGACTAATAGTGCTATGAACATTCATGAACAAGATTTTTGATGAAGTCAGGAGTGAAAGAAAAGAAACCACAACTCTGGGTTTAGGAGCTGCAATACCATGTTTCTCTGTACTACAGAAGAGTCGTGATAATAATTACAATGCTGTAAATTGTATAATCTACCTTTAGCCCAACCTTCAACATCATCTTCTTTTATTCTGTGAAGTTTTATTTCCAAGGAAACTGAGCCTCAATCAGAATCTTGGTAGTACATAGCTAGTTAAGGTGAGCAACATCTAGAGTATACATTGGCTGAATCATGGAGTGCTTTATCCACTTCCCTTTTTAAGCCTGGGTAGATCTTAACCAGAATATAGCATGATAGGTGTTCCTCCATACATAACGCTACACTCACTAATTTTATTTACACAAAAATTTCTCTGGATTTTTCATACAAGACTCCTCTGAAGGCAAATATAGAGATGAGGTTCTTAGCATGACAGCTCTTTAAATATTTTTTTGATAGACAGGCTTGCTGTTAAGCCTAACCCTAACCATAACACTAACTCTAACCCCAACACCAACTCCAACACCAACCATAACCCTAACCCTGTATAGGTTCACAACCAAGATATATATATATATATATATATATATATATATATATATATATATATGATTTTGTCAGCTTCAGCAAGAGTGACTTTGAATAAGTCATAATGATTAAGAGTGAAGTAGAAATAAAAAACATTTGGGAAGGAACTAAAAGTTCTGATATACATTAAGGTCCTTAACATTTGATTTAAATTGTTTAAGAAATTCCCAAAGAAACAGACCCTCACTTTCTTCAGGAGTATTGTTAGAGACTACTCTTGAAGCATCAAGAAGATCCCCATACCACCTTTGTTCATAGTGACAGGTACTTTTGAGAGAAGTAAGATTTTCACATGCCTTCAGACAATTGGGGGAAAAAACAAATGCAATGACAGAAGAATACCTTTGGAATCAAAAGCAGCCCGATGGTGACTGTCACAGTCAAGTGAGTGTGTGCAAAATAGAGCATCAGCATCCAGTCAGACTGAAGTCTTGAGGCAAGCACAAATCTGCAAGGAGAGTTCTCCATGTTAGCAGTCAAGGTAGAAATTCCTGCTTCAAAGCTAGTAGGTTTGGAGACATTTCCTCTCAATGTACTTAGAAAAACAAAAAGGCTGCTTCTATCGCAAATATTTTCATCACAGAAAAATAAAGGTGTATAAATAATAATTGTAAAGTTATTATTTAAGGTTGCACCTACATACAGACCATGCTAATACTTGACATAGTGATATGACATACATGTATATGCTGATTTTACAAAGGCAAGGATTCACATGAGTTCGAAATGGAAGCTATAGACTGTGGTCTTGGCAAAATTAGTTGCACATCATACGTTAACACATTCTTATAGCATTCTTTATTTTATAAACATCAATTGAAATTTACTTATTTGTCCCAAAAACCTTAAACAGTGAACAATGCAGTGGTAGATAAGTGAATATGCTAATAATTTTGGAGTGCCTCTGTTTCTTTTCTTTTCTTTTTTCTATTTTTACTTTTTATTTTACATATCGATCTCAGTTCCCTCTCCCTCCTTCCCTCCTTCTTTCATTCTCTCCCACCCTCTCATTCCCCCTGACAGTCCTCCCCTCCCATACCAACCCACTCCACATGTAGGTTGATGCCTTCCAGGAGTGGTCATCCAAATCTGTCAAGTCATTTGGAATAGGGACTAGTATCCCTCCATAGGGAATGTGCCCCCAAAGTTCTTTTGTGCACCAGGAATACATCCTGGTTCTACTGTCTGAGGTCCCTTAGACTGCTATGTCCTTCTAGCTGAGACTCATGTTCAGGGGGTCTGAGTCAGTCCCATGCTGGATTCATAGCTATCAGTCTGGGACCCATTAGCTCTTCCTTGTTCAGGTCAGCTGTCTCTATGTGTTTCTGTAGCCTGGTCTTGTCCTCCCTCTCTGCATCTGGATTCCAGTTTGGCTTAGTGTTTAGTTGTGGGTGTTTGCTTCTGTTTCCATCAGCTATGAGACAAAGGCTCCATGATGGTGGATAAGTTAGTCATCAATCTCATTATCAGGGAAGGGCATTTATGGTAGCCTTTCCACTGTTGCTTAAATTGTATGTTGGAGTCAGTCTTGTAGGTCTTTGTACATTTCTCTAGGTTCAGTTTTCTCTTCAATCCTATATTGGCTCCCTATTTTATGGTCTCTCTATCTCTTATTCTCTCTCTCTCTCTCTCTCTTTCTCTCTCTCTCTCTCTCTCTCTTCTCTCGTCTATTCCTCCCCCAACTCAATCTTCCTAGTCCCATGTGCTTTCCTCTCCTCCCCTTCTCTTTCTCCTAGTTCCCACTCCAGTCACTGCCCCCCCCCAATTATGCTTAGGAGATCTTGTTCCTTTTCCCTTCTGTGAGGGACCTTATATGAATCTCTTAGAATCCTCCTTGTATCCTAGTTTCTCTGGTGGTGTGAATTATAGGCTGGTGATCCTTTGCCTTATGCCTAAAATCCATATACGAGTGAGTACATACCATGGTCCTCTTTTTGTGATTGGGTTACCTCATTCAGAATGGTTTCTTCAAGTTCCATTTTTTCCCCTGCAGAGTAGTTTTCCATTGTGTAAATGTGCCACATCTTCCTTTATCCATTCTTCAGTTCAGGAGCATTTAGATTGCTTCCAGTTTCTTGATATTACAAATAATGCTGCTATGAACATAGTTGAGCTCATGTTTTTGTTGCATGGATATGGATCATTTGCGTATATGCCTAAGAGAGGGATTGCTGGGTCTTATGGTAGACTGCTTCCCATTTTCCTGAGGAACCACCATACTGATCTGCAAAATGGCTGTACAAGTTTGCACTCCCACTAGCAGTGGAGGAGTGTTCCCATTTCTCCACATCTTCTCCTGCATAAGTTGTCATTGGTGTTTCTAATTTTAGCCATTTTGGCAAGAGTAAGATGGTATCTCAAATTCTTTTGATTGCATTTCCCTGATAGCTAAGGATGTTGAGCACTTTCTTAAGTGTCTTTCAGCCTTTTTGATTTCCTCTATTGAGAATTCTCTCTTCAGTTCTGTACCCCATTTTTTAATAGGGTAATTTGGTGTTTTGTTGACTAGTTTCTTGAGTTCTTTGTATATTTTGGAGATCAGCCCTTTGTGAGATGTAGGACTGGTAAACATCTCTTCCCAGTCTGTGGGCTGCCATTTGGTCTTGTCAACTGCCCTTTGCCTTACAGAAACTTCTAAGTTTGAAGAGGACCCATTTTTTAATTGTTGATCTCTGTATCTGTCCTACTGGGGTTATGTTCACGAAGTGGTCTCTTGTACCAGCTTGTTGAAGGGTACCTCCCACTTTCTCTTCTAAGAGGTTCAGTGTGGCTGGATTTATGTTGAGGTCTTTGATCCATTTGGACTTGAGTTTTGTGAATGGAGATAGACATGGGTCTATCTCTAGTGTTCTACACACCATCATCCAGTTGTGCCAGCACCACTTGTTGAAGATGCTTTCCTCCTCCCATTGTATGCTTTTAGCTGTTCTTTCAAAAATCTGGTGTTCATAGGTGTGTGGGTTAATATCAGGATTTTTGAATTGATTCCATTTGTCTTCTTGTATATTTTTGTGCCAATACCAGGCTGTTTTCAGGACGATAGTTCTGTAGTCAAGCTTAAAGTCGGGGATGGAGATGCCTCCTACAGTTCCTTTATTGTAGTGGGTTGTTTTGGCTATCCTGGATCTTTTGTTTTTCCATATAAAATTGATTATTATCCTTTCAAGGTCAGTGAAGTATTGTGCTGGGATTTTAATAGGGATTGTATTGAATTTGTAGATTGCTTTTGGGAAGATTGCCATTTTTACTATGTTTATTCAACCTATCCAAGAACATAGGAGATCTTTCCATTTTCTGGTATCTTCTTTTCTTTCTTTCTTTAAAGACACAAAGTTCTTATTATATAGATTTTTCACTTGCTTGGTAAGTGTTACCCCAAGATACAGTGAACAATGTAGTGGTAGATAAGTGAATATGCTAATAATTTTGGAATGCCTCTGTGTTTATTTGTATTTATGTATGTATGTATTTATTTATTTAGAGGTGCTGGGGGTCAAATTGCTCCATGCTGTATAAACTCTTTGCACCTCTGATCAGCATGCCCAGCAAGAGGAGCCTTCTAAAATAAAGCTTTGGTGTGTTTAAAAATTGTCAAATTGTCTTATATAATTTCTAATGTGATATTTGGAATAATCTCCAATTGAGGTTTTCATAAACCTCTTCTTCAGTCTGACAAGGAGTATTTAGTACAGAAGTCAGCTCTAGAATTCCTGTCAATCCACAGGTGCGTGCCCAGAGCTCTGTTCCAAAGGACTCATCCCCATGCCCAAACCAGGTTTTTATTGTAATTTTAATTCCCTTTCCACTTTTGCCATATACTACATATTTCCCAATGCTCACCATGCTATTTTACTGCATTAGAAATGAAAGAATTGGAATTTTGTTCCAATGTCATATAACACAAAATTTTAAAATTAGCTTACTAATAGATTTCATATTATTGAAATTTATTTTGTTGTTAATTATGTGTATGTGTGAGTCTGTTTGTGACTGTAAGCATATGTGTGCAGGAATGTGTGGAGGCCAGAAGACTGCATTGGATTCCCTTAGAGCAGGAATTATAGAGCAGTTGTGAGCTCCTCAATGTGTGTGCTGAGAACAGAGCTGTGATCCTCAGAAAAAGAAAAAAGTTATTTTACCTAGCCATTTCTTCCCAAGGGGTCATACTAAAATACAAAACAAATGCATAAATGGCTGGACATGACTAAAACAATTTTGAAATCTACAAGGTACCGCATTCATTGCAATTTTGCTAAGTGAATTAACATTACTAAATATTTAAACAAAGGTGTCACCAAGGGTACTGTTTCTTCATTTCTCTCCTTCCTTTTATGACACGAGCTAAAATCAAAGCTCATGATCATCAAAAATGGAAGGCTATTTCCCCATGCTTCTGGAGATGCAAAATACCAGACTCATAGTGTATGTGGGCATGCAGAATGTTGGTCACAGCTCACAGGTCACATAGTTGTTCTAGTCGGCCACCTTCTCTAATTCTTTTGTGAGAAAAGTGGCCTTTCCTAGTCTTGAATGTATTTAACATACACTTCATTCAAGGGTGTTAAACCTTTTGACATGATCTGTTTCCTTGAGCCATTTGAAATTTTCTTAAGTCATTGTAATGGGACTGTTGTCATACTAAGCAACAGATAATAGTCTCTGAAGCATGTATGACATATACATTTAGATCCACGTACATGTGTATACAGATAAATGATGTGCCCTGAAGAAATGACACAAACCCAGTCATTTATTGGCCACTGCAAAACCTGGCACAGAAAAGCTCATGGGTAGAAATAGATTTGTGTCTCTAAGCATCTTTTAGTAGGGAAAAATCTTATCTCCTATGGCAACACAAGTTGTTGTACATAGGAAGCTTCCTCCTACATCTTGAAGAATATAATTTATTTATCTTAGTAACTTTTCACTTTAAGTGAAAATTGTGACCTTCTGAAAAATCACTTTGAAATAATGCTGAAATTAATTACTTTCAATTTAATAAGCCCTAAATTAATGCCAGGTTGTAGCTCTGGCTAGAAATACCTCGAGAAAAGCAGCTGTGCTGTTGTTTCAAAGCTTCAGTTTTAAAATGGTATTTCAGTTTTGCAAAAATAGATTTAAAATCCAGTAGCATAGCAATATTTGAGAATGTGTGTTTAAAAATAAAGCAAACAAAAAAATCTTGTGGATTCCTAAAGGGTTTCTTTGTGCTGGCTCTAAAAGTCAGTGAAGGGTTAGAACAGACTGGGAGAAAGGTCTTTGCACATTTACCTCTTCAGATTTAGGTCTTTGATATTAGTTTATTGTTGTGTAATCTCCAAATTTTATAATAATGAAAGTAAAGATATGTATGGTAAATTTCCACACACATGTACTATTATGTATAAATATAAAATGTCATGTTTAATGCAGATAAGCAAAACATGTGTGATACTGAGAGTATGTATGTCTCTCCTAATACGAGAACCTTAATCAACAGTATTTCATTCAGGAAAAAAAAAAAGGACTAAAGTGGATCTTTTTGATTTAAAGTTTTTGTAATTGCTTCTTTTCCTGGGATTTTATAAATACCAGATAGTGATTGTATGTGTAAATTAGGTCTTGTAAATACTTGATTTTAAAATATTATTTCTATTACTTTCCTCCACCCATGCTCTAAATCAGTGTTCTATAGACTTATTGTGTGAAACTACATTTCATTCACTGGTCCTTTCTGGCAATACAGATGCCAAAATTTCTAATGTATTAAACACATACACATACATAAAAACACCCAAAGTAACATAGGGCTGTTAACAGTGCTTATCTTTGGGGAGTATGAATGATGAGTTTACTTCTTTCTTAACTGTTTCATAATTATTCTGTAGTGACTATATGTTGCCTTATTACTAAAATATCTTTGAAATATTACCTAAGGAACAATTTAGTTGTCTGCTAATGAGAGGACCTGGGCTAGGTTAGATTTACAAATCCATTAAAAATCATATTTGGTATGGGACCAAAGAGAACATATAAAGCAGATAGGTACATTCATGCAACTTATTTGAACTTTTTTAATTTGAGAAATTTGTTTCTATGAAAGCTGGCAGCTTGTTGTAGGGAAATAAGCTTTTTTCACTCCTTAGTCCCATTGTGATGATAGCAGGCCTGGTAAATCACCCATGAGGGACCTCCTTGTAGGCATTTAACTATGTGGCTTGTGAATAGAACATTTGGCTTGCAGTTGGTTACAGAGAAGCAAGCTTGTTAAATTTTAAAACTTATACTCTTGACCTTCTGGAGCCTAGTAACAAAAAGTGACTTTTCTTGGACCATAATCTTTAGCTTCATTCTTGGGACCATGGCAAGGTCTTCTGTCTTTTCCCACATTCTAGACCCAGGACATTTTCTCTCAGATCTAGGCACTCTAGTCCAAGTGGACTTAAGAAGTCTCCCTCCCTTGGCTTATTTTCAACCCCATACTCTATTCTTCTCAGTTTTCTAACACCTTTTATTTTCTTCTCATCTTTTTTTTTTTTTTCTCCATCTCTTGAGCTGCAGCAAGACAAAGCTGAACCAGTTCCCCAACTCCTGACTTGATGAGGTTTCCATGGATACTAGATAATAGACAATTTCATTTTTTGGTTAAAAGTTTAAGCACTGAATTTGCCTGGAGTCCCAGCTGTTCTTTGGCATTATTTGTTTCCAGAGGGAGAAGTTAGTATTTTCTGAGAGATAGTCACATGGAGACATTTCCACACATTCCCAACCTCCTATTCCACTGCAACTCCAGGGAAGCATTAATGGCAGCAGGGGAATGAACCCTAACCCTTTCATCAGAGCAAAGATATTCAACTTTTCCAATTACAGTCCTAAGTGTATCCTTTCAGTATTTTTCAAGCCTTTCAGTGACATTTTGTGTTATCAGTAAAATGCTAGGATTCCTTTCGCTATCTGACCTCTGCGATTTTCATTTCATTTTTTATTATGATGCAGGGGAAGGCCTCAAAAGTCAGATGTACACTGTTTCATCTGGCTACTCTTCCTCCTTCCTACTCCTCTGCTTAAATGTTTCCACTACTCACTTTTCCAGCTTAACTATTTAAATTAAACTACAGCATACCCCCCCAAACAACAGTGTTTGTACTACCTCTAAGGATCATGTATTGGCTTTTTATTGGGTCAACTTTACACAAACTAGAGTCATCAGAGGAAGGAGCACCAGTTGAAGAAATTCCTCAATGAGATCCAGCTGTAAGGCGTTTTCTCATTTGGTGATCAATAAGGAAGGGCCCAACCTGAGGTGGGTGATGCCATCCCTGGACTGTTGGTTCTGGGTTCTATTGAGCAAGCAATGGGAAGCAAGCCAATAAGCAGCCCCCCTTCATGGCTTCTGCATCAGCTCCTGCTTCCAGGTTCCTGCCCTGTTTGAGTTCCTGTTTGAGTTTCTCAAGTGATGAACTAAATATTGAAATGTAAGCCAAATAAATCTTCTTCTCCTCAGCTTGCTTTTTGGTCATGGTGTTTTGTAGCAGCAATAGAAGCCTTAACAAAGACAGATCACTTACCTAATTGTATGGAATATAGCCGTGATAATGAGCTCATTGTGAACTGCGACAGCCATGTACCGAGGCTCATGAAATGCTGAAGGGACTGTTCGCACTGCATAGCAGAGATAAACACCCCACAAGAGGAATACAAATTCAGCTGTGAGAGGAACAAACAATTCCCCATTAGTTTCATAAGTTAAAAAAATCTAACTTCTTTAACATGCTTTATTACAGGTGCACAATCATAGATGCTTGTAAAGTTCCATTCACATAAAGATACAGAAGCCATATATTACATTTTTAAATTTGATTCAGTGTACATGTTTTTTAAAGGTAACCTCTATTGTTGCCATTGTTTATAACACAATGAATATTTTCATTGTTTTGCTAATATATGGATGTCCCTCCTACAATGTCTGTGAAAAGATTTTTCTCTTTCTCAATCTAAGTTTATGGTGTTCATAGGAGTCTGGGTCCTAACAAAGTATCAAGACAAGAAGCCTACACAGCTTCTGGAAATGGAATTTCCTGCTGTAACAAGCCCAATTCAGAGAGTAAAAATAGCCACTGTCACAGCTGTGGGAGCACAGGTTGCTAAACACTCAGTGGCATATTTTCCAAATGAAACATTGTTTCTTCACACATGACAGAAATCCTGCCTTTCGTGGGCAGTGCATGGAAAGCACCATAAAATCTAGACTCACCTTGTTGGATATTTGTTGGGCAAGCACAATGTATCAGCTAAGAGTGCCTAAGTCTGAGCCTGGCTCTCCTTATCAGCTTAGCCTCAGTTAGGTACTATGAAGATGCAGGTTCTTCACTGAAAAATGAGACTCATGAAAGTGCACACTTTGGGGGTCATTTGCTAACTAGATGAGCTAGCATGCACAAAGCACTTAATTAACATGGTTTCTGGCTCAACTCAAGATTTTCTTAATACTAAGATTCTCACGTGTCAGTTTTCCAAACTGATCATTGCCCCTTTTTGTTGTTGTTTTGATACCAGGTCTCTTGCCTCCAGCCCAAACCGCCCGAATCCAAGGATTACAGACAGCTGACACCATGGCCTGTTGGAGCACTGCAATTTGAAGCCACTTTGACTAATCCACTTCATCTCTCTTAGTAACATGACCTTACTGGAAAATGGCATCTAACTGCTAAGAGCGATCTCTCTCATGTGGAGACAGACACCCCTGCGTGCTAGGTCACCCAGATGTGACCTTGCACCTGAAATGCTGGTCCCCATTCAAAGCAGTGATTGTCCATCTACATGCCAAGCTGTTCTCTCTGCCAGCACTTCAGCTTATTTCCAGTAGAATCTAAATATTAGACAGTGCTCCAATTACTGGAAATCCTTTAAATAAACCAATCTGCCAGGAGCTGTGCTTAAAACCCTGACATGGACAAAAGCCAAAGAAAGAAAAGAAGCTTTACTTCAAACCCTCAGTGAGATCTAAGGTAAATCCGAATTATTCAGCTTGATGGCTGCTGGCTATGTATGTGAACACAATCCCCAGCCGTTACCAGGTCTAGAGCAGGAAATAACACTATCTTCATAGTACCACATGACCTTTGTCACTGAGTTGAAAATCGCAGATTTCCTTACAGTTTACATAGAAAGCATTCATGTGTATTCGATACTCTCAACACTCACTGCCTGAACCTCTATTGTCTCTATTGCTGTCTGCTTATTGAATCTATAAGTGTAAATTCATTCACCATAACAAGGGCAGGTAAGCTATTCTGAAATGCCATTTTAGTCAAACCAGAATTTGCCTAAATCTCTGCCAATGATTTTGGGTTAAACTATTCACATGTCTCCTGAAAATTTTATTCAAATCTTTGAAATACCAGAAATTATCCGCCCCCCCCCCAAGATGATTCCCAGGTCTTCCTGCAGGGCAAACATTATTCTTGACTTTAAGATGTTCTTGCTGCCCACTTTCATATTCAGTACTTTTTTGTCTATTTACATCTTAGACTAACTTTTTGTCTGGTCTCTGAACAGTCATGCATTTGATAGGCACCAACCACATCTCCATTCAGAAACTTTGTGTGGCTTCACTTTTATCTTCTGCATTCTTCACCCAGGCACTTAGCACTCTCCATAACATGATTTCATAGTACATACCCAGTGTCCTTCCCACCATGCTCTCAACATAAGCCCTCTGAGCCCACCCACTGTCCCTTTGTTCTCTGAATGCTACAGAGATTTATCTTGGGGCTGGTAAAATGGCTTATTGGGTAAAGGTGCTTGCCACAAAGCCTGGCTATCTGTGTTCAATCACTGAAACCTAGGAGTTGGAAGGAAAGAACTGACTCTTGCAACTTGTCTTCTGACTTCCACACCTGTGCAGTGGTGTGCACACATTATCCAGTGATTAAAAGAGAGAGAGAGAGAGAGATCTCCTTCTGAGTCCTAATTTGCATTATTGATCCCACTGAAAATTTTCTCTTACTCCACATTTCAAATCTTCTTTCTCTTGTTTTGTAAAAGCTAAATTTAATATTTTTGAGAATTTCTGTAAGGCTACAATGTATTTACATACTTTCTCCCTCTTTCATCTCTTCTAATTCATCCCATGTCTTCACTCTCAAAATCATGAGTTATTGTTCCACAATTTTTATTTTGCATATATGTGGGTACATGTGCACATGTGCATGTGTGTGTGCATGCATGTGTACACACACATTCACGCACTTACACACACACACACACACACACACACACACACACACACAACTTACTGATCCCAGTTAGTGCTGCCAACATATAGATGTGTTTAGGGCTGACCACTTAGGATTGGACAAACTAGCAGGAGGCTCATCCTTGAAAGAAACTGATTCTCCCTCTCTCAAAAGCCCCAGACTATAGCTCTTCTTGTATATGTGGTTCCTTTCCATGTTGGCATATCAATTGATCTGGTCTTGTGGCAGCAGCCGTATTGCTGAGCATTCATGATTGCAAAATCAGATATTCTTTCACAGTAGTCACATTGGTCCTCCAGTCCCTACCATCTTTCTGCCTACTCTTCCATGATGTCCCCTTGAATCTTCAGTGTAGGGGTCATGCTACTAAATGCCTCATTTGGGGATGGATGGGACACAGTCAGCTACTCACCCACTTAAATCCTTAAGTTCTTAAAAATGACCAGTTCAAGTTTTACTCCTATCACTAAGCCTACTGAAATTATACTAAATTTTTTTCCATTAATACTTCATAATTTTAACATAGAGAATCATGTCATGCAATTCATAACTGGGACAAAAGTGTCCATTTCCCACCCCCATCCCCACCCGGGTTCTAGGGAACTGAATCCCTACTTGAGGCCTGAAAGCACTCTTCCTTGGAGCTACACCTCTACAGTCCTTTTACTTTTTCTATTTTGATGCAAAGTCTTACTAAGGCGGTTCTGCTAGCTTTGATTTCCTGTGTAACCCAGCCATGCTTCAATCAATCCTCTTGCCTCGGAGTCCTAAGCAGCTAGAGGTTCCAGGGGACACCACCAGGCACAGCTATGGCCTTAGTCTTCCTACACTGATTGTTTACCTTGCTCTGGCCCTACCTCAAGTGATAGCAGCAACACTGAGCCCACACACATGAGATTCAGTAGTATTTGTTGAACCGTATGACTTTAATGCTATCAGCTTCATTAGAGACGTAATGTTCTGTTACCTGACATTCCATCTATCACTGCTGGTTTTGCTGAAGCAAATAGGCATGAGGTCTAGGCTGGAGCCCCTGCTGCACTGTTTGCTCTTTTTGCTTACACACCCTGTCAGAAGCAAACAGAAACTTAGAAGCACCATTACAACTGATTAATTTACAATCTAGTTTCATCTGACCAACTAGGTGATCAGACTGTGACATGGGCCCTCCTTTTGGACACACTGAAAGTAAGGCAGGCATCTATCTGGTATAGTCATAGAAGAGGGTTTGTTTTTGTTTGTTTTTATCTCCTCGTCCCCCTTTTCTTTGTCCTTGTCTTCCTCCTCTATGTCTGCCCATAAAGCTTCTGTGCCAGCTCCTCTAGAGAAGCCCATAACCTCCTTTCTTACTGATGTTTCCTGATCCCCCAACATTCTTTGCTCAGACATTCTCTGTTGAATTCGATTTTGCCTCAGCTTTTCTTTGACAGGCCTGTGAATGAAACTAGTTTGGGCATTGTTATTAACAATGGTGACCTCTACTTATCAACACATACAACATGTGTACTGTGTGTTTGGAACAAAAGAGTGTGAGATGCATAAATACTTACTGAACACCTGCAGCACATGGAAAATACTCTGTTGCAATTGAAGCATTCACATGCAACTGTCTGGTAAAAGGAGCATTTGCTGCCACTCACTATGGTGTTTTCATATACCATACTGAAGATTGTAAAGGTAGTCATTGGTTTAATTAGGGAGAATTCCATTTAAAAACATAAGACAAAATAAGATTTGTCACAATAGCTAAGCTAAACATTAAAATCATTTCATTAGCAGTATCAAACAATACACTCTCACTTAAAAACAATTTATTATTCAAAGTACCAATTAAACTAAATGTGATATATAAGAGTTGTGCTTAGACCAAAAAAATCAGTTTCATATAATTAACTTCAGACTAACACTGCAATTAGTAGGGAAAATATGCAGATGTTACTGAATTCTGCAGATATTACGTGGGAGTTGAAATATGTGCTGGGCTTCTGCTTTCAAAAATAGTTTCTTGTGTTAAGCGATCTCTACAGGAGGAAGGAGTGTGGTTAAAAAAGGGAATTGCCTTTATATTTAAATGTCTAAATATGGTTCAATGAAAACTGAGGTGTTTTATTTTCAATATGTAATGGATAACAATATTAAAGTACCATGACCCTTAAAGATTAATAATCAGAAAAAAAATCATTCCAAGCTTCATTTTCAAAAGGCTAGGGGAAATAGAAAAGAATTCCTATCAGTTCTGTGACACCAAAGATGTCCCAGCTCTGTGATCAGAGAACCCCACAAAGACTAAAAGGATAACAGCTTCAAAGTACAAACACCACTCAAACTGTGGTGCCTCTTAGCCAAGCTGGAGAGACTTCTGTGTTAACAACATGCTACCCCTGTTGCCTACATCAAGTGATTTCAAATGGGAGAAATAAATACATAATTAATAAAACATCGGTTTTG